TTGAAACTCTGCTGGTGTTTGTGGATTTCAGTGCCTTCCCTGTGTAGTCTAACATAATGATGTTATGTCCTGTTGCAATGCAGCAAAGGACAAAAGGGATCCCCTCACCACTGCAGGAGTATGACTTGCAGTTGTGGCCAGGTATATATTGGGACCACAAAACACAGCAGCTACACCAGAATCAAAGAACATGAAAGACACTGTAGACTAAAGCAACCGGAAAAATTGGCAAGAGCTGAACATGCCCTGAAACAAACTGGACATGAAACCCTATTTCAAAACACAGAGGTACTGGACAACACCAGCTATCATTATGTTGGACTACACAGGGAAGCCATTGAAATCCACAAACACCAGCAGAGTTTCAACAAAAAAAGAAGACAGCCTAAAACTCAACAAAGCCTTGCTCCCAGCACTGAAAGATACAGCCTGCAAAAGGTCAATGAACTCTACCCAGCCACAAGGACTGGTGATCACTGCACACAAAAGACTGGCTAACAACACCTATCAATCACAGTGAAAGATCATCTCCCCTCCCCCTTATCACAACAATACATCCACAACAAAAACATGCTGATCACCCAGTCTCCTGAAAAAGTCAAAAGCTGTTCCCAAAGCTGTAAATAATCTACTATCCAACAAACAGCAACAGAGCATGGACAGAGTTCCTACTCCAGTCCTCTGAAGAGGCCAGCCACAGAGACTGGCGAAACATCAGGAAGAACGACCTTCAGAACACGGCCAAAGAGCCTGAAAAAGCCACAACAACCACCTGATCCCATTCTTTGCCTCAGGCAACAAAACACCATAGGTCAGCAGTGCGGCCAATTGATTCCAGAAATCTCCCTCTCTTCACTGCTAGCTACATCTTCCTTGCTTCCTGGACACCAACCAGATGGCTGTGGTGTGGAATCAGGATTACATCACAGTTGTGCCGGTAAAAACAAACCAAGGAGAAAGCAACTTTGTCATATTTGTCATAGAGCCACGTTTGCTATAATTTTTGCTTGATGAAGAGCTCTATGGAACTGAAAAAATGTGCCTGGTTTGTCACCTTTTCGTGATCTCATAAATGTCCTGCTCAACCCACTATTTTGCTTCTATGAATGGATCGCAGCATCTTTCTGCCTAGTTCTAGAGCGTGCTCTTTTTCCGCACCTTGATTTCACTACTACGGTGGTTGCCAACCTTGGGCAACCCAAGTGTTCTTAGACTGCAATTCCCAGAATCCTTCACCGCGCCAGCCGAGGTTTCTGGGACTTGCAGTCCAAGAACACCTGGGTTACCCAGGGCTGGGATCCACGGCTCTTCTGCAAGCTAAGAACGGATTAGCTGGCAGTCCTTTGACCCAATCAGGAAGAGAGAGGCGGGAAAGGGAAGTCTCCGTTTACCGTCTTCTTTCCCTCTTTGGTTGGTGCTCGCTTTGCATTGCTGATTCCAATTGGGCCGACTCACATCTTCGTGCCGCGCCCAGGCCAATTAGAAACTGCTGGTTTTCTGCCCCGCCTTTCGAGCTCTTTGATCTCTTTTGAAATTGCACTTTGGTTCGATTCGCTTTACTCCTTGCGGCGAACGGGGGGGCTCTTTTTGGTTTCGCAGAGCCCCCTATGTTGGATACCCAAAGTTGTTGCACGGTACTTTTTCATACACTTTGCATCATTTTGGTTGGGGCCAGAAAGGATACCCGGCGGCTTGATTTACGGCGGGGCGCCCGCCTCTTGCTAGAGCCACCACGGTGATTACATGTTAATAGGGATGGTCGAAACTTTTAATTAGAAGTGTACTGTACTGTAAGTTAAAATTAAGTATAGGATAAAATCAGAAATATGCAAAGGGAAAAACTTGGGCAAAGGTTGCTGTGCCAACTCTGATTTTTCTAATTTCACATGTTTCGGGACCTGCTCTTTTGGTTTACTTCATGGAGGGAAGAATTGCACTTTGTACGTGCACAGAGGCACGCCTTCTTTCAGTTACCTTCGCACGTTCTAGGCTCACCCCTGGCAGAGTTGTAGTGCCAGGGTGGGAGGGAGAGTCTTGCAACATGGAGGGAGTGTGCGCACACTCAATTACATTCCTAAAAAATTTTCTTAATCGGTCTTCCAGTTTTCAGAGTCCCGTTATTTGGGGGCGAAATTCCAGTGCTCAAGTAGATTCCCTTGCTATATATGTGTGTTGAGTGTGTGTGATGTCAAATCACTTCTGATTTATGCTGATCCTATGAATTAACTATTTCAAAAGACCTTATTATTAACAGTTCTTCTCAGATCTTGCAGACTAAGAGAATACATGGGCACTAGCTCCCTTACATATATATATGTGTGTGTATTCTGTGAATATCTATATGTGTGTCACAATATATAAAGCTCAAATGACTAAACTGAGGCGTCATACTTTGGGCAAGACTCACAGGAAAGAACAATAATGTTAGTAAAATTTGAAAGTGGTAGGAGAGAGAGAGAGATGCACATGGGGGGGAGTAGAGCCCATGTATTCTTTGAACATGAGTTACCATTTGTATATTGTTATGCGCATAGGACCTATACAATTACTATATGGGCAATGTCCATATAGTAATATACAGTATATACACAAGTAGGTTACTGCATGCTCAGAACCTCTGCGCATAGGACCTATACAATTACTATATGAGCAGTGCCCATATAGTAATATATACTGTATACAGGTAGGTTACTGCATGCTCAGAACCTATGTAGCAAATCATGCTCACAAAATGCATGAAGCCATACTTGTTGGTCTAGGAGAGGCCCAGCTCTACAGTATAAGGATGGGGCCAGGCTATAATCTCATTGGCAAAGAAAAATACTCAGCACAGGCTCTAAGTATTTTGAATTCTGTGTTCCTTCCAATATTCCAGGCCACTTGGCGATAGTTTTGAAAGAAACTTTCTGGGGCTGAGCTGTGCAGGTTGTGTCAAACAGGTAAGAGGATGTTAATAGGCATTCAGTCTCAATTGTAGTTTCTCTTCCTGGGCTTTAGTGAAATGCATTCAGTCTCAATTGTAGTTTCTCTTCCTTTAGTAAAATATTATTTCTTGCTTATTCTTGGGTGGAATTGGGAAGACAGCTGCTATGTCTCTCATAATTGTTTAGAAGAGAAAACCGCTTTTCATTCTTGGCATGCAGTGGCTTTATTCATCTGTACACAGCAGTGCAGTAGCTATGATATAAGGGTCGCTCTTATTGAAATGCCACTGTAAATTGCTTTCACCCCCAATTCCGCAGAAGATGAAAGTTCAAAGAGGCAAAGTAGTTAGTCATGCTCAAAAACTACTGTACATGGTGGCCGAAAATGAAACCACATGTCATTAAGGAGGAATGAAAACAATTAATGGGGGTTAAAAGGATGGTTACTACAAATTACTACAAATTACATTTGACCTCCTGATATAAACCTGGTGATTTGTCCTATCTTTGTGATAGATCCTGATGTCTTTCATTAAAATGTTTCACATTTGCATTTGTTTTATCTTGTTATATTTTTGTGCTCATTTGCTGCTTATGATTTTTTTTGTTGCACAGAATATCTAGAAGGCCACAAGTTCCCTATTCCTGCTAAACTGAAACAAACCACAGTTGGAAACTATGGCTTGATCTTAGCTTGTTTCAGTAAACTAGGATGGGTAACATGAGGCCTTCCAACAGTTGTTCAACTGAATATCCATCCCATTAGTCTTTCCAGATAAGCCAGTGGTGGGCTGTGTGAGTTATATGCAAAAACATTTGAAAGGCCACAGTTACCAATCTCTGTAATAAGCCATAATTTAATTTAGCCACGTGTAATGAGTAAACATGGGACATGGTGGTGCTGCGAGTTAAACCGCAGAAGCCTCTGTGCTTCAAGGTAAGAAGACCAGCAGTCATAAGATCGAATCTACGTGCTGGAGTGAGCTCCCGTCGCTTGTCCCAGCTCCTGCCAACCTAGCAGTTTGAAAGCATGTAAAAATGCAAGTAGATAAATAGGTACACTTCAGTGGGAAGGTAACGGAGTTCCGTGTCTAGTCACGCTGGCCACGTGACCACAGAAACTCTCTTCGGACAAATGCTGGCTCTACGGCTTGGAGACGGGGATGAGCACCGCGCCCTAGAGTCGGACACGACTGGACTAAATGTCAAGGGGAACCTTTGCTTAATGACTAAACTGTGAGCACTCAGAATCTGAAAGAAGGTGCTTCCCATATCCTTCTCCTAGCTTATGCAGGAGGAAGAGGTTGAAGCCTTTGAGCAGATATGTACTCAATGCTAATATCAGAACCAGGCCATTGTGATGCTTACTCTTATCTCAAACTGTACTAAAAATAATAGTAAAAGATGCCTACATTTTCTGTTTCTGCTACCATTCTGTCTCTGACTGAAACATGTGCAAAATGTGCTATGTTTTAATAGGAGCTATGGCTTCTGGAACAGCTCTGGTGTATGATGAAGAAATGACCAGCCATAAACTACTTTGGAATGAGTAAGTGAAGTTTACCATGTTAAAGAGCTGCTGGTGTTACTTTAAAAAGAAAGAAAATTACAGAGGTGGTCAAATCTTTTTTGCAACCTGGTTGCAGTTTTCTGGCACAATGTAACAGAAGTAATGTGGCATTGAGTGCTTCTTCTAAATTGGAAAGAAAGGTGTAGGACAGAAACAGCTGCAGATGTGAGGGCTGACTGTTGCTCTAAATGTGACTCAGCCTTTTTTGGGGATCAAGTAAAGCTGATGACAGATGCTTGGCTTTTGCCACCAAATTCATTAAACAACCAAAAGATGGCTTAATACTCACTGGTATCTTGCTGGGAACCCAAAATGTAAACCTTTGGTTTTTTAAAAAAAAAGTTAATAAAAACAATTCATCAAGATCTAGTAGTGAAAGAGATACTTCTTCAATAAATATATAGATGTTTCTCTCTTTTTTTTTTCCTCCTTGTTTCTCCAGCTGTAATTGATATACAGTACTTCCCTGATGGTTTTGTTGCAAAAAGCACGTAGGTTTCTCTCTTTTTTTGCTTGTAGCCCGGTCTGCCAGATCGAAGTGCCCGAGAGGCTCTTTTCCTGCTATGAGCGACTTCAGGACTACAATTTGATTGAGAGATGCACATCTGTACCTGTCAGAAAGGGAACAGAAGATGAAATCCTGCTGGTTCACAGGTCTGACCTCTGATATATTGTACTTCTGTCTTTGTCTGTGGTCGAGAACTAATAGAAAAGGCCCACACTCTTTGCTCCATTTTTAAACATTGCACATAAAAGCTTGTAGTTGTCATGAAAGAAGATATGATGAACCATAATCCCCTTAGAGGGGAAGGGAAATTTCTTTTATCTGTTGCGAAAAGTAGATGAAACCTTGAATAGCTGATAGGAGCTGCTTTCATGTGGACGAGGTTGGTGGGAAACAAGCTCAATATATCAGCTAAATCTGCCCCCCCCCCAATTGTTTGTTTGATAAGGGTAAAAACATAGCCCTGCAGCCATAGTGTGAGGTTGCTTATAAAATGTCTAAGTCATTTTTCCAGTTCCGATTTCTTGGATGTTGTGAAGAGCACTGAAAAAATGATGGAAGAAGATCTCCAAAAAACCTCTGCTGAATATGATGCTGTTTACTTTCATCCAGTATGTAGGCATGTTCATTACTGCTCCTCTTATATGTATAAATCTCTTTGTTTTAGTCTGCTATCTCAGTTGCTATGCTGACTTCTTCTTGAGAGGCAAGTGGAAAAATGGAAAGGAGAGTTTGAAGCTGTATTTGGGGAGCTTATTATCCTGTACATTTTGAGTAATTGGAAAATGGCTGTTGAGTGTTGTCTTTTGTGAGCTGAAAGCACCTCTTAGGAGCTGAAAGCACCATCTCTGCCCAAGGCTTGCTGAAGTAGAACTCGGGGTGGAGGGACTGTGGAGGGGGGCTCTGTCAACTACAGGGGGACCCAGCCCAGCCCAGCCCAGTGAAGACTGAACATGGCCAGTGCTCATGGAATGTTGACTAGTCTGTTGTGAGAGTTGAGAGGGCAGAGGATCAGAAGATGATTGAACAGAATATCATGAGATAGAGCAGAGTGGTAAACTGGGACATGCTACACCTCATTTTGTTTCAGCCATTGATATGCTCATAAATACCCATTCTTCTCAGAAACTGCTGTGAAACATGAGACTCATGACTTTTTTTGTTCTTCAGACTACATATCGTTGTGCCAAGTTAGCTGTGGGAGCAACATTGGAATTGGTGGATGCCGTCATGTCAGGAAGAACACGTAACGGGATGGCTCTAATAAGGTAACAAGGTGGAATTTGCTACTTTATAACATCCCTTGATGCCGTTTATGTCAATGAATGGCTAAATAATCTCACTGTGCTTGTTCGCAGGCCTCCAGGTCACCACAGCCAGAGAAGTGCAGCCAATGGATTTTGCATATTCAACAATGTTGCTATTGCGGCAAAATATGCCCAAAGAAAATATGGTTTGCAAAGGTCATGCATATATTTGTCTGCCTATATATTACCTTCATATCACAGTGTTTTCTTGCTCCTCTTATGACTATTGTTCATTATTGGTTCATGCAGAATTCTCATTGTTGACTGGGATGTGCATCATGGCCAAGGAATTCAATATATATTCAGCGAAGATCCAAGGTTTGTCAATTGCTTGATTTTGCATGTTGGGAGCAACTGTGATTATGCTTCTGGAATTGGGTTATCCAGTAACTTTACTTGCAAGTGGCAATTTCCAACACATTTTTACCCTTTTCACCAATAAATGTCACTAAATGGATAAGGTATAAAGCACTGACACATTCTAATACACATAAACTTGAATTCCCTTAGTGTTTAGAAAATAGAAATACAGCGGTGTCTCGCATAGCTAACTTTACTTGCAAGTGGCAATTTCCAACTCATTTTTACCCTTTTCACCAATAAATATCACTAAATGGATAAGGTATAAAGCACTAACACATTCTAATATACATAAACTTGAATTCCGTTAGTGTTTAGAAAATAGGAATAATATTGTTAAGAGAATCGGGAAGCTCAAAGTAGAAGAATGACAGCTCAGCCAATGAGCAGTGCAGGACCTGCCCCAGTCATGGAGCGCTGGGAGGGCACAGATCAACCAGACAAATTTTGACGCCTTAGCAGCTGCCATTTTGAATCTTGGGTGGAGAATTATCCAGCTCTGCCATTTTCGCGCCCTCAGTAAGCGAGCGGTGGACGCGAAAATGCTGCGCGCGGCCATTTCCCCTCGCTTACCAAGGGCGTGAAAACGCTGCCCGCGGCCATTTCGGGTGTTCCGGTGGCCATTTTTGACCCGCTGAACAGCTGATCCGCGGGTCGCAAAACGAAGGTCGGTAAGCGAAACGCTTACCGACCTTCGCTATGCGAATTTCGCCCATTGGGGCCGAGCGATGCCTTCGTATTAGCGATCCCAGAAGAGGGATCGTTATGCGAATTCATCGCTGTACGGGGCGCTCGTTAAGCGAGGCACCACTGTAATATTGTTAAGAGAATCGGGAAGCTCAAAGTAGAAGAATGACAGCTCAGCCAATGAGCAGTGCAGGACCTGCCCCAGTCATGGAGCGCTGGGAGGGCACAGATCAACCAGACAAATTTTGACGCCTTAGCAGCTGCCATTTTGAATCTTGGGTGAAGAATTTTTTCTTAGCAGCTGCCATTTTGAATTTTGGGTGGAGAATTATCCAGCTCCGCAGCTGGAGAATTTTTTATTTTCTTTTAGGCAGCTGAAAAGGTCTTTTTCTTTAAACTTTCCAATCAAATGTGAGTCTGTATGTGTGTGTGTGTGTGAGTGTGAGTGAGTATGTCATTGATGTCTTCAGTCTCATGTGAGAGTTTGAAGTAGAGCAGATTACATTGCAAATAGGACCTAAGCTACCTTCCTCCCATTTTGGACTTACACCTGCTGCTGGCTTTTATTTATTTTTTTGCGGCACTTTGGGTTTTTTCCCTCTTTTTTTCACTGTGCCTGCCTGTGTTCCAGATGGAGTGGGTGGAAAACATGACATACAAGTCAGCTATTGGGCACTATTCCAACTGAGGCAGTTCATCTACTGGCCAAGGGTATTCTTTCCCACTTCAGCATACATTTTTGACAAGTAAATCAGCATGCGTGGCAAGATTCGTGGTGGGGGAGGCAGCGAGGAAAGTGGTGGGACTTTTACCTGCACATTGGAGGTCCAGTGGTGGTTGATGGCACTGAGTTTCACCTTCTGTCCCTGTTGAGAGCTCTTTTTTCCCCGTGTAGAAATATGTACAAATACTTTCAGATATTCAGACACAAATGAAAATAGATAGGAGCAATACCTCTGAAACGAATTGGTTGCTATTTTGAAGTGGATAGTATTTGAATAGCATTTAATATTCAGAGGTACCTAGTGTGGTGTATTGGACAGAGCGATAGAGTGGGGCTTAGGAGACTCGGTTTAAATTGTCACTCAGCCATCCAAACTCACTGGGAAGGGTTGGCACTGGTATAACGCTCATTAAATGTCTCACTTACCTTGAAAGCCCTATGAGAGTTGCTATAAATTGGCTCTGACTTGATGGCACGTAGGATATGTATCAAAGTATTTATCAGCCCCTGAACACAACACTGGGTTGAGATTCCAACCTGGCTGTTCTCTTGCTGGGGCAGTTTGGAGAAATAAGGTTGAAGAACAGCTTACCTGTTTCCTGGAATAATGTTCAATTGCTTGTGTCTGGTTTTGTGACAAAAAGCTAGATATATTCTATAGGTGTATCACATTTCCTATTCTTTTTGACATTATAGACAGGTTGGTCATACACAGCAGAAAAATCTCAGGTGAGAATCTTCAGTTGCACGTTCACCTTGTTTTTGTGATTTTCTTTTTTCTGTTGTCAGTGTTCTCTATTTTTCCTGGCATCGATTTGAACATCAGCAATTCTGGCCTTCACTCAGAGAATCTGATTATGACGCGGTTGGTCAGGGGACAGGGAGAGGATTCAACATCAATGTACCTTGGAATAAGGTGAATGTCACTGGATACTATAATTATGCAACTCCAATAAATTTTAGTTGTCATGGATTAGGTATAATCTAAAAAGCAGAGATTCCACTCTGATTAGCAGGGAAATGTGCTTCTCACATATATTAATAGGGTTGCATGACTTCCATGGAGATAATGTATTGAAAACAAACAAATCTTTGACGACTGATCTGCACATTTCTGTTCTCTTTATTTGTTGGTATAATTATGCAACTCCAATAAATTTTAGTTGTCATGGATTAGGTATAATCTAAAAAGCAGAGATTCCACTCTGATTAGCAGGGAAATGTGCTTCTCACATATATTAATAGGGTTGCATGACTTCCATGGAGATAATGTATTGAAAACAAACAAATCTTTGACGACTGATCTGCACATTTCTGTTCTCTTTATTTGTTGGAATGCATTTCAGCATTAAACATATACAGTGGTGCCTTGCATAGCGATCGCTCCATATAGCGATGAAATCGTTTTGCAATGGACTTTTTGCCATCGCAAAAGCAATCGCTTTGCGATGGTCCCTATGGGGAAATTTCACTTTGCGATGATCGCAGGGAAGCGATCATCGCAAAGCCTTCATTTTTGCACAGCTGATCGGCGGTTTCAAAATGGTCACCGGGTAAACAAAATGGCTGCCCGCTGTGTTTCCTCACTTAAGAGGCACCGAAAATGGCCGTCCCTATAGAGGATCTTCGCTTAAAGGTGAGTTTTTAGCCCATAGGAATGCATTAATTGTGTTTAAATGCATTTCTATGGGCTTTTTATTTTCGCTTAGCGATGTTATCGCTTAGCAGCGATTTTTTCTGCACGGATTAACATCGCTAAGCGAGGCACCACTGTACAGTACATACGGCTTTTCCCATTCAACATTCAGTTTTGGTGTTTGATCCTACTAGTGTTCGTATAAACCATATTTTAATTATGACTTTTTATTTTGTTTTCTTGTCTTTGCAGACTGGCATGGGAAATTCTGATTATGTTGCTGTGTTTCTCCATGTGTTGCTTCCATTGGCTTTTGAGGTAATTTTTAACCTGATTTAAAAACAAGATACACTTAAGTGACTAAAACTATCTAAAAACCATTGTGATGTATTTTTCTGCTAATGTTTTAAGAAATAAAGAATATTTAATTATGGGGAAAAAACAGTGATTTTTGAAAAATTATGTTGCTGCTTCTAAAAAATGATCTGCATGGTGATTTTTCTAGCAACAGCAATGTAATTTTTCACACACCAGCTACAGGTTGAATGAATAAATATATTTCAAGTGAAAGCAGGGGACGACCGAGGATGAGATGGTTGGACAGTGTCATCGAAGCAACCAACATGAATTTGACACAACTCCGGGAGGCGGTGGAAGATAGGAGGGCCTGGCGTGCTCTGGTCCATGGGGTCACGAAGAGTCGGACACGACTAAACGACTGAACAAACAAACAAACAAGTGAAAGCAGGTAGAGATCTTGAGGTATTACAGTGGTGCCCCGCATAGTGACGATAATCCGTTCCGGATAAATTGTCACTATCCGGAAACGTCGCTATATGGGACAAAAAACCCCATAGGAACGCATTAAACAGACTGGTATGGGAAATTATGATTATGTTGCTGTGTTTCTCCATGTGTTGCTTCCATTGGCTTTTGAGGTAATTTTTAATCTGATTTAAAAACAAGATACACTTAAGTGACTAAAACTATCTAAAAACCATTGTGATGTATTTTTCTGCTAATGTTTTAAGAAATAAAGAATATTTAATTATGGGGAAAAAACAGTGATTTTTGAAAAATTATGTTGCTGCTTCTAAAAAATGATCTGCATGGTGATTTTTCTAGCAACAGCAATGTAATTTTTCACACACCAGCTACAGGTTGAATGAATAAATATATTTCATGTGAAAGCAGATGGAGATCTTGAGAGCCCTTAGAATCTGATCATTGTTCTCACAGAGGAGTCTAGGCAGAGTATATTCTTAAGGATCTAGGTTCAAGACGTAGAACAGATGGGGTAGAGGGATATAAATGTGCAAAAGAATGTGGGATAATTATCTGAAGTTTTGCCCTTTTTCTTCATTGCCACATTTTCTTCATTCTCTTCTTTAAGAGAGAAAAAAAGAATACATAGTGGCTCTGGCGTTACTCGCCTACAAAACAGCCCCTCTCAAAGATTACCTTCAAGAGGATGTGGTCCTCATCAGGAAACGGGTCCCCAATTCCCAGTTCATAGGATTGTAGGCAGAAAAGCTGGGACAGACTTTTTGCCAAGGCTTTGTAGAGATTCTGCCACTCTGACTAACTACTGGGGCAGATGGACTAGTGGTCTGATTTGATATTCAAAGTGTGGTGTCCAGTTGAGGGAACAATAAACATTGCAGAATATTGTGTTCAGTTAAATGGCTATATGCGTGTGTACAGTATAACATAGTGTACTCAGGAAGGCAGCTGAATTTGGTCCATAAGGCAAGTGGGGCACTGCCTCACCTCAGGCTCCCCCCCCTCCCCAGCCATCTGACCAGCCCACTCTTGCCTCTTCTTTATCAGAGGCAGACAGTCAGATTCTAGCCTGTATTTCCTTCTGGCTGAACTCTAACCTCACTGTCTCTATGGAATGATGAGAGAGTGGATGTACCATCCCTCTCAGTTTTTAAGAAATTAATAGAATTATATAAAGCTGCCTTTTAGTAGTGTTTTTAACCATTGACCTAAGGTACCCAAATTGGTTTTAAATTTTTCAATTCTATTTAAATGTGGGGTTTTAGTTAGTGACAGGGTTTTATTGTATTTCTTGTATACCCAGATTGTATACAGAGAGTATTCACAGTAATGGGGTGATATACAGGTTGAAAGTGAGCAAGTGAGTGAGTGAGTAAATGGCTCCTTAAAATCATAGAATCTCCTTCAGCAATTTCTTCCAGTGCCTTATCTCTGTTTAATGCACGATTACAAAATTTCGGTAGCTTCATTTAGAGCACTCAGAACAAAGCTGAATGGCAATATAATGTACTAAAAGTGTTGTTTTGCTCGTTTTCTTTTAAATAATAGTTTGATCCAGAACTTGTTTTGGTTTCTGCTGGTTATGACTCTGGAATTGGAGATCCAGAAGTAAGTCATTTTTGCATTTCCCCTCCCTCATATCTTAGCCTAGTTCTTGTTTTAAATTCATTTTTCGTATAAGAACGAAGAGTCACACTTCAAAAGTAGAGCATTCATTTACTTGTTTCTCCATTTTCTAGGGCCAGATGTGTGCGACTCCGGAATGTTTTGCCCATCTTACACATTTCCTAATGCATTTAGCTAAAGGAAAGTTGTGTATAGTTCTAGAGGTAAACTTTATAAATGATATCATTGTCTACAAATATTTCACTAGAATATATTCTGCTCATTCGGCAAGTGTATTTGAGGATTAGTAGCAGCATATTAACCACACTGACCAAACGCCTGTTACTTACATACACCAGCTAAGTCAGACAGACAGACAGACAGGAACCTTTATTGGCATACTGCACAAATTAAAATAGAGCTAAAAAGTTCAACGCAGCTAAGTCAAATGGTGCAAATTTCCATGGCAAATTGTCACTTGTTGAGGGATTGATGCTTATATTCCTCATTTTTTATCCATGATCTGTGATTAGGCATACAAGTATCAAGTCTTTAACCAGTGGCATTGCACTGCAGATCTGCATTATGTAACTTATGCTGACATATGTAAGTAAGAGTGTTCCAGCCAGGAGATAGAATTCTGCATGCATACATATGTTTGTTGGGTGGGTGTTTGGGTGTGATAGTAAATATCCATATGTGAAGAAAAGATTATATGACAATCCCTGATAAATATCTGAACCTATATGTCCTTTGCACTTTTAAGGATGCCAGTTAATTCTGTGGAATTAAAGATTATTTATTATATTACTGTAATTTTCTCCAGCACCTCTTGGCCACAGGTTATCTAGAACTTGGGTTATCTCCCAGTTGTGAAGCACAGCTTATGCAAATTAGGCAAATTTAAAAGTATGGGTTTAGGAGGATTTCCCCTCTCCCTGACAGTTCTCCTCCTTTCCACTCAAAAGGCAGACATTTTGTGAGACCTACTCCCTATTATTTTGGTACAGCATTTATAACCTCATTTGTTTTTAAACTGGGGTTTTCTCTTTTGCCATCTTCTGAAGTTAATGAGGGCCTGCCCATTCTTTTATGATTTTTTTGGACATCTGTCAGACTCCGGCCTGCCTGGCTTCAGCAGGGTGCTTGCATAATTCAGATCCTCAAACTATGCCTTGATTACAGATTACAATTACAGACTGAGTACCTTGTAATCCCACTTGTTTCATTATCTAACACCCAATTGTTGTAATATCTAAGTTTTAAATATGCTTCCTTGCACTATGCATCAATTTCTTCACATTTAGGGTGGATATCATTGGAGATCACTATCTGAATCAGTTTGCATGACTTTAAAAACTTTGCTGGGTGACCCTTTACCCTGCTTGTCTGGAGAAAAGGCACCATGTTTAAGGTATATTTATACTGTACATTTTTATTTTGTGTTCTCGCACTCATGAAATGAAGGCTAAGTGTGATTGTTATTATCTGAGCCAAATTGAATTTAGCCAAATTTAAGCACTATTAGAGTCTCATTAATGTTACTGGACAAGTTTATGTCACTTTTAATTAAGGATTAGAAATTGGCAAATTGAAAACGTGACATGTCCTGCTTAGGCATTATTGCCCTATAGAAAGTGACAGTCTAAAGAGAAGAGGAAAAACCCCACACATTTTAAACGCTGTTGTTGTTGTTGATGATGATGTTGATGTTGTTGTTTTGCATATTCAAAATCATGCAGAGAATTTCTTTGGAGATGGGAGGCTTGCTTTTTCCAAAATTTGCCTTCAACATGAGGAAAGTGGTCCCTGTGATAGTGGAGTGGAATGGTCTAATCTAATGTGCTTACCCTGCTCTTCTGTGTGTAGTACATTTGACTTCCAAAACCTATGAACAATCTTGGACTTCACATTGGCTTTACAGCAGGGGTCCACAACCCCCAGACTGGGCCACGGAGACAGATCTCCCACCCATCCTGCATGCACTCCCCCCCGCACAGTCCCTTCATGCATATGCGCAAGTGCATGCATGCCTGAGTGAGCGCCCACCCCTCTCCTTTGTGCATGTGCATGAGTGCCCCCAAGCACTCCCCGCCCTTCATGCATGCGCGCAAGTGTTCCCCCGCCCGAGTGCCCCTGCCCCTTCATGCATGTGCTCAGATGCCCCTGAGCATCCCCCACCTTCATGTGTGTGCACACCCCGCTACTTTGCGCATGTTTGTGAGCGAGCACGTGCCACGGCCCTTCGTGCATGCGCATGAGTGTGGGGAGTGCCCCGCCTTCCCCAACCGGTCCGCAGTGTTAAAAAGGTTGGGGACCACTGCTTTGCAGTATCTCCTGTTAGTGTCTGAGATTGCTGGGTTTTTGGAAGATATCCATGAGTATAGTTTATGCTCATTATTTTAAATAAGCTGAAATTAAGACTTCTTTTATAATTATAACTCCATAGTTGCCAGTATAAACCAAGTATTTCCAAAATGTAAGGGGGGAAATGGAGACCCAACTCTAATGAGATATTTTTTTTATTTCTGCCAGTTTCCTATCATATAAATTGCTTGTAGTCAACTCAAGATGGCTATCCATGTGAGTGGTGTAGGATAGCAATTCTGCTCATGAATCAGGATGGGATTTCTGAAATAAAGATCTCAGAAAGAGAGCCAGTAAGATGGTGTGATTCATACTTTGTATGATTTCAGTGCAGGCTCTTTATGCTAAGTGCAGCTAATGACAAGTAAATGTTTTTGTTGGCATGGACAACAAAATCAGAATGTTTCTTAGTGTGTGGTGTTTTCCTAGCCACACCTGTTTTTATATTTCCTTTACTTGGTAGCACTCATAATCAATCAACTCCTTTAGCAATGTTTTCCAAAATGGTCTAGTTTTGATAATTACTCCATTAACCATGTGTGGGAAGCACACACCCAGTGGGCTCTTATTCAGCAACTGGCGTGTAGGATTTGTTTAATCAGCATAATCTAGCTCAGCTCAGCTGTCAGCATTCTCAGTGATGGTTTGTTTTAAAATGTCAGGCGCTTTTAAGGGACCATGCATGGAGCCGTTCTGGATACTCAAGCCATATAAAGAACACTCAGTGCTTTGTATCAAGGAGAGGATCTGCCTTAGCAGGACACTCTTATTTAATCCCTTATTTTCCATTTTGGTATTCTGGATTTTGAATTGGTTCAGAGCTGTGAAATTGTAGCAGGTACCTATGGAGATCAGTCTGCGTAGGTTAGAAAGTATGTGCTGGACATTGCAAAGAGCAAGTGATGCAACTGAAAAGTACTGTATAAAGAATTATGGCAAACTTAGATAGCTATGATGAACATTCATCCCACTGTGGCTTAATAAATGCATTCATCTTTTAAGGGCTCAGTGTCATATTTGTTACTTAAAAGCCAGTATGGTGTAGTTGTTTGAGCGCTGGGCTGAGACTTATGAGAGTCAGGCTCAAGCATCCATTGAACCATAAGACCGTCTGAGTAACCATGGGCCAATTAGTCACACTCAATCTCACCTACCTTACAAGGTTGTTGTGAGGACAAAGTGGGGAATATAGGGCCCATGTATAGTTCCTTGCATCCACCGGAGTGAAGTGGGATATAAGTGTATTTTAAAGAATGAACAATTAAGTAAATAATGGCTAAAGTCCTCATGCAGAGGACATCTCCTGCAGTTGCACACCCAGAATTTAAGTACTGTATAGCAGTGGTTCTTAACCTTTGTTACTCAGGTGTTTATGAACTGCAACTCCCAGAAACCTCAGCCAGCAGAGCTGATGGTGAAGGCTTCTGGGAGTTGCAGTCCAAAAACATCTGAGTAACAAAGGTTAAGAACCAGTGCTGTATAGTACTCTTTCATTAGCAGTGCTAATTAGCCCTTCCTCTGATCCCTCATTGCATGTGAGCCATGCTCAATGAAGGATTGCAGTGGGGACTCTAATTAGAAAGAGTTCCCTGCTTGGATTCTGGGTTACACATCTGCAGATGACATTGTCCTGTACTGTGTAAGTTGACGCAAGAAGATTTTGGCTGTTAGTTGTCATTAGTTTTGGATTGTTGTTGCAAATAACTAATGGAACATCTCTGCAGATTTTTCTTTTTCTTTCTTTCTTTTGTCCTTCCAAAACCAAGCAAATCCAGAAATACACTATGAAAATTAAATGCAGTTTTGCAGACATTTCCCCCCTTTTCTGTCTTCCTTAGCACTCTAGAATCTATCCACAATGTGAGAGCTGTTCACAAACTGTACTGGAAGTGCTTGATGTATGAAGGTAATGATGGGCTTGTTCATCTTATCACATGTAATGTGGTTGACAACATAAATGCATAAAATATACTAAAATAATATTATTAAAATGATAGTCCTCAAAATGACAGCTATATTTTTCAGCTCATAGAATACGAGGTTTAAATATTTCTGAGTAGATCTGTACCTGGAATAAGGTGTTGTGTTAGAGGCAACTGCTGAAAACTGGTTGGAAAATGTAACTGGATCGCCATCAGATGCTATGTAAACAGGACCATAGAACTGAATGGATGAGCAGGAGCTGTCTGCATGTTGGTTTTCTTCACCTTCCCACACAATACTTAAATAAGTGGTTTGAGGTACAAATGAAATGAATAAGAACTTTACAACAGATAGTATAATTTTACAGCTTGGTTAATATACTTTATTGCAGTCGTTTCAGCTAAATTACTTTAAAATAATTTTTAAAATACTGTTAATCTCACTTCAGATTTTCACCTGAGTTCCTGTTGTCTTATATAAGAGCTGACCTGAAAAAGAGGTATAATAACCTACGTATAACAGGAATCTCCCAAAGAATTACCATTTTGAATCTACTGAGCTATTTTACACACAAAGCATGGCTTGGAAAGTTGCATCCCTGATAGAAAGTAATCAATCTGATGTGGTCTAAGTCTGTGGTTCTCAAACTGGGGTCCCTAGATGTTCCTGGACTGCAACTCCCAGAAATCCTGGCCAGCACAGCAAGTGGTAAAGGCTTGTGGGAATTGCAGTCCATTAACATCTGGGAGCCCCAGTTTGAAAACCACATCTAAGTTATGCACTGCAAGATTTCCAAGATATCCAGGAATCTGAGTCTGAAATCCAGCGCTCTAGCTCATGGAATCTGTGGTGCTGAATGTCAGAAACATGTCCAGGCCTCAAGACATCTAGCAGTGTTGGAAAAGTTATGCAAAATGTCTGTTTACCTGATGTAAGCAGTGCTGGTGACATAGACTGTCAGCTCTTGGAAGATAAACTGTGTTTTGTATTGCCCTGATATTGTTGTTCCCAGATATAACTCCATTGCAAGAGCTCAGTACCAAACCCTACCAGACGGGAAAGGCAGAATCTACTGGTGCCCAGCCCCTTACTCCACAAGAGTGTGGAACGATGGGCAGTGATGAAATCATCAAAACAGACAAGTTCTTAGAGCTGCATATGAAAAATATAGTGTTTCCAAGACCTTCCACTAAAGCGGCAGTAGCTCTGGATGAAAGTAATGCACTCCTGCTTCCACCATCTCTTCAGATTGAAAAGGCAGCAGATACAAAAGAGTTCAGAAATGTGATTAGGTGAGCTGTGCATTTTGTCAAGACAAAAAGGAGAGCAAACAGTCATTGTTAAGTATGAGACCGTAATGGTTTGTTTTCTGCTGTCAAGTTGAAAGTGACTTACAGCAACTCTAATAAGTCTTCCAAAGTGAGATATTTAAGGAGTTTTACCAGTTCCACTCCTAGTGAGTTTCCACAGATGCGTGAGGATTCGAACCCAGGCCTTCTGAGTCCTATCACTCTATCCACTGCACCACCCCGAGTCTTAGTTCCATACTGGTAGGGATTTTGTGATGAAAGGAAGTGAAAACCTTATTGACGTTTTACTTGCATGTGAGGCATTTTAGGTGGGGAAGCAAGAGTTGGTCATGCTTCTAGCCCAGTTAGTGTCTCTAATTACCATTTCCACAGTCCTCCTGCCAGCAGTGCCTACCCTTACAGGGACTTTCTGGGACAAGTAACTTCCATTCTGGTGTTGGCAGACAGACGACTATTGTGTCACAGGTGTCTCTACATTTGAATAGCCTGAGCACCATATTGTCCTAGATGGAAGCCTGAACAAGGCTGAAAGGTGCTTTGCTTTTGCTGGGTCGTGCAAGAAATGTCTACCCCAGCCAACGTTCTGTCTTTTCATTAGATGCATAAAAACAAGAAGGTTAAGAGTAATCCAATTCATCGGCTGGTTTTTAACTATAATCTTGGAATATCCTTATACAGAGCTGGCTGGATAGTTCAGTGAGTTGGGTTTCTGGCTGTGGAGCCCCGTTTTCCACAGCACAACCCAGAAAGACCAACCCGTGTGGCCTTGGGCAAGCTACAGAGTCCCAGGGCACCCCTAGAAGAAAGGAATAGTAAACCACTTCTGCATATTCTCTACCTAGAAAACCCTGAAAAGAGTTGCTGTAAGTTAGAATTGATTTGACAGCACACAGTGATTATCTTTATACAGCAGTAGTTCCCCTGGATATATGTAGGCATAGAAGGACTATATTAACGTCGTCATCATCTTAGAACTGTAGAGCTGGAAGGGACCCTGTGGATCATTGAACCCAACCCCTGTCAAGGAGGCATACTAGGTAATTAGCTCCCAGCCTCTGGCTTCGCAGCCAGATGCCTAGACCACTGAGCTATCCAGCAGTTCTTTCTCAAGATGGTTTCATATGTGAATGGTGAACACTGTGCTAGCTCAGATTGCAAAGAGAGACTGGCTGCTTTTTAACACAATGCCAAATTCTGGCCCCAAGAACTTAGCAAAGCACTTTCATGGCCTTCTGAATATTCCAAATCTTTTGAGGTTTCTGGGAAGGGCAGCACCTGTAATTAACCTCATTGACTGCATCTCGAATGTGAACAAATACAGCAATATGTCAGCCACAACATAATTAGGCAGAAGAATGGAAGCTAGGGTCTAACAGTTTCTGCTGAATAAACATTCCGACTGGTGTAGTGGTAGGGGGTTGTGTTGCTTGTATTAGTGTTTCCCAACCTTGGGTTGGTTGGTTGGTGTTCTTGTTTTGTAAAACAATCCTTAACATTACTGGTTGTCTACTGTGGAGCAATTAGGCCCACCATTGCTATAGATCTATAAAGTTTAAAATATGGTCCTGTATGTGTCCTGTCAGAAGATGGTCCCATTGAGCTCAGTGGGACTTAATTCCCAGGGTAGGGTTGCAGCCTAAAATTTCTGTGCCTCAGTCAGCATTTGCAGTTGTTCCACATTTCTAACAAATTTCTAAAATGTGTTTTACAGTGACTTTGATGCCAAGCTTGTGGAAGATGAAAAGGTCTTAACCTCACTTAGGAATATGTTGACTATTCTTGACAAAATAATTAGAAAAGAGGTAATAGCCATTATTACTACATCCTACGGTTTCTTCAGCCTAGCAATTACTGTAGTTTCCCCTGTCCCTGCTAAGATAACATCCGATTACTTCTCTAGTCCTTGGGCATCGTATTGTAATAGAACAGTAAGATGGAAATCCTTTTAAAGGTACTATTAATTAGTATGGGGAAATAATACAACCCACCTCTGAGGCAGGAAATTCAGTGCCACATTATTCCCAGTAGCACAGAATCATGGACCTAGGCCCAGTGTAGGCCTATTCTTTCCAAATTGAGATGGGTCCTTTTCATAATGAAGCAATGAAACAGAAACAGGAGATGTCTCTTTCTAAACCTCCATAACAAATTTTTGGGTCCAGCTTGATTGGCCCAGAAACAGAATATGAAAGGAGATCACAAATAGATTGCTAAAATTCTCCAGTTCTTATGCTGGGTTTCTTTCTGAGAATGAGTAAAGCCTTTTATTTTTCATAGGCTGTTTGTTATAGGGAAATTGTTTCATCAAGGACAGTAATGCTTGCTGATGGCTGCCGTATCCCCAGGTTGTTCATTTTCACCTCCTTGCCTGAGGTGTAGTACATTTGAGGTACTTGAATCAGTTTTTGTGCATCAGAGGAAATACAAAGTCTATACTGTGCGTATAAGCTTTGAAACACTTTGCTCTGGTATGAATGTTGTAGCACTAGCATCATGAAATACAGTCTCCACTACATTTCAACATTCCTGTTTATTTGAAAATATTGCATGTGTTTATATCCAACTTTGCTGTTTATTTTGACCTGAGGATAAATGAGAAAATACAGAAGCTAGCGGTCATTACAGATGGGATTTTTGGAATTCAAGGACTCCCAGTCCCATAATTGATCAAATATATTTATTTATTTATTTTTTAGTTATTCAGTGGTCTTGCACTGTCATCTGCAGCTTCGCTTTCCACTGCCATTGCTATAAAATACTGCAGTAACGTGAAGGTACAAAAGTAGGTAAAAAGCATGTTACATCCAATATCGTGTGTATGTATGCACAACTCATATGGTCCAGCTGCAATTAAAGCCTAGCTTTTAGAATGACTTAATTTCTATTTATTGTGAATGCTTGCACAAAACTACAAATAAGTGGGATGATTTCTGACAGGTATGGAAATATTGGACCTGTCATAATTTGCTACTTCATGCTTTTAACTTTTAAGCAGTGCAACCAAATACATGTCTATTTAGAAATGTATCCCCATTATATTTATGTTTGCACATAAATATAACATGTGCACAGGATTACAATGTGCACAGGATTACAATGTAAGTTTGTAGTCCTATACATTTTTATCTTGGCATAAATATGTTTGCATGTTATGAGGCATACCTCTAAGTAGATATGCCTAGGATAGTATTGCAAGTTATATATTATGGCTGAAATAGTCTTTAGTGTAGTTGGTTCAGCAGTTCATGCTGTTTTGGCTGATGGTCCAACAAATGCTCTGCGGTTTGGTGCCCTGCCCCCACCAGGGAGCACCCACTCAGAGGTGCTGCCTCTAAGTGAGCTTCCACTGGAGGGGATGGGGCATCAAACCACAGAATGCCTGTTGTGCTGACAGCCGAACCAGCACGAACTGTTGAACAAATGCTTCATGCCCATCTCCAGTCACAACTACAGTAGGCCCATTTGAATCAGTGGAATTTGCAGAGGAGCGGACTCGCCAAATTTCCACTGATTCAGTGGACCTCCTTTTGTTGTGACTTACTCTGCTAAGTAGCAGGATTTCAGCCTATGTTTTGCTAAGATCAAAAGTTTCTTTTCATGACAGATGCATGATGACAAATGTCAATTTCTACTGGGTTAGATACAACCAAGAAGTGGGATTAGACCTAGTGAATGTGTTGCTGCCCAGTTGTAAAGAGGCAGCTGTTACTCTGGGGAAATAAACATTTCCAATCACCACTTCTCACACAGATGATATATGGCATTAACAATGTCGGGTGGCACTCCATCAACTAAATTATTTGATTTCCTTCTAGCCACTGGATGTGTTTTTGTAGATTCTAACTTGAAAGTACTGTATATCTGTGGATATCTACCCAAAGGATTGAAAGGCACAACTTGTTTTGTGAGCAAGTAGTTTATGTCTTATGTCTTAAGGTATGTTTATTTTTGTCCAGCTGGTTGGTTTTTTGTTAATTATCTTGCTGTGACACTTTTTATATAAAGCTCATAGAGGGATTTAAAAAAACACACCATTTTCATGCATGTAGTGGTACTTTAGATTTTAAGTGAACATTTCAAGTAGAGTGTTTGTTCTGTAGGGTCCTCTGCATATTTGTTGGTGACATGGATATGAAAATGGACGTGAATGATGGGTAAGTATCTTCCTTTGTAGGCTGACTTCACAAAACGCAAAGTACTTGTTGTTGATTTGCAAGGTAAAAATGGTTGTTCTAGAACTGTGCCACTGCTGGAAATTTGGGAGAGTTTTAGAAGAACATGAAAGAAATAAAGCAAAGTGTGCTGCTTATATACCACCCCACAGTGTTTAAAGCACTCTCTGGGTGTTTTACTAGTTAATTATGCAGGCTGCACATTGCCCGCCCCCCAGCAAGCTGGGTACTCATTTTACCGACCTCGGAAGGATAGAAGGTTGAGTCAACCTAGTCAGCCTTTAGCTGGCTACCTCGGATTGAACCCTGGGCTGTGAGCACAGTTTTGGCTAGTGTACAGCAGTTTAACCACTGTGCCACGAGGCTCTGTAAATAAACTGTGGTAGACCCATTCCTACAATATTAGGGACTGTTTGTCATTTCAGTCCTATTTAAAGAGCCACTACATTTCTTTTTGAAGCAGTAGGATGTGTCTTCGTAAGTACACTTCCATAGGCTTGAATTGTGCATATCTTTTCTCTTTACAGCATAAATAAATCTGTTAATAATAAAAGGAACAAACCTTTTGGCTGTTACAGTTCTTTATAGCTAGTTTATTCTAATTCTTTCCCAAATGTGACATACTCACGTTCTTAGTTTTGTTACTATTGTGTTTCATAAATGATTTACGACAAGTAACATAATTTACCTTCCTTGGTATTTTAAAATGATTTTTGTTTTACAGCAAAGTCCTTTTGATCAATGTATCTTCCAAGCACTCTGAACAGTTAAACACCAAATACAATATATTTCTACAGTGGAAAGAGGTAAGGTTGATACTGTCCCTCAGGCTTTGTTAAAAATGCTAAAACCCATGCTAAAAGGGGAGCAGGATATTCAGCAAGATCCTTGATTTACAATATGGAAATACAGTATATTTCCTGGTAACTTCTCTAGCCCATTCATTTATGGGGAAATTCTGGCCCAGTCAGAGATCTCTGATACAAGTATACCTTTTTAAGGATGCATGTCAAGTGGATGTGTCCTGCCTGCACTTGGTGTGTTACAGGAAATGCCAGCGTATATGCTGCAAAATACTTCTGTGTTCATTGAGCTAAATCTGACCTAAAGCATCTCGAAAAACACTTCCTGGGAGTGTTGGCACAGGTATTTAATGTGCAGCCTTAGCCCCTTTTGCTTGTTTGTGTGAAGGGAAGGTCTGCAAAAAGATGGCTGCAAGGTGATGAATGTAGTCCCTTTGTTGAATGTGCAAGTCTCCTCTGTCTATATTGCACACCAGTGGCCATCCACTGAGAAGGCTCATCCATGTTCTGGAACCCTGATCGTGCTGAATTCCAGGATCTTGTTAGTCCTATCCATGTTGATGTCCCTGCAAGTAAGCTTCCCTATCTCAGATGCCAGATGTTTTCATGGAATAGGATGGGTGTGGCCCAAAGGAGATGCTCATTATCAGAGACCTGGCTACAGCCATGGTCCTGCATTTCCTGTAATGAGAAAAGTCAGCTGTTTCCACTCGCTATATATCAGTGGTCCTCAACCTTGGGCCTCAAGATGCTCTTGGACTTCAACTCCCAGAAATCCTGGTGAGCAAAGATGGTGGTGAAGACTTCTGGGAGGTGTAGTCTAAGAACATCTGGGGGCCCAAGGTTGGGGACCACTGCTATATATGACTTTCTACAACAGATGTTAATGTTTCATTTTGTTCTGTTGTTTTAATTAAGGATACTGAAACAACCACCTTCTTCTCTGCTGTAACTGGATTTATTCTTCCAGTAGCATATAGTTTTCAACCTGACCTCATCATTATAGTTATTGGACAAAACCAAAGCCTTGGAAAAAATGGAATTTCCTTACTTACTAGCTTACTGCAAGGGTTAGCCCACTCTCAAATTCTTACTCTGATTCAGGTAAGAGATTTCTGTGATTTTATAACAGCTTTTTGATTGTTAAGGTGAAATGGCCGGACAGGAATGTTTTGCCACATTTTAATTTTGTTAGGGTCTTTATATGCTACAGTGTTGAATGTAGCAATTTATTATTTACTGTTTAAACTGTGAATCTGTTTCCAGTGCAGCCTTTAATTTTTGTATTAAAGAATTGTCTTCAGAACACAGGGAACTTGAATGGGGCCCCAGTTGTATTTATGTACATGCCGTGCTCCTCTGGAGCATTTGTTTAGGAAGCAGAATGTAATTTTCTCTACCCACAAGCTTACTGATAGAGATTTATTCTTAAAAATGTTCCTTTTGTTTTGCTGCTTAAAAGGATACAGAAGTAAACCTGTTACAAGATATAGTCAAACCTTTGACAGGTGATTTTATACCTTACTTTGGACCCTATGCACCAGCCTTAAAAGAGAACGAAGAAATAATAAAAAACTTAAGAGAGCAACTTCAACAGGAATGGAAAATGCTCCAGTGTTCAGGCAAGTATTCAGATCTATATTCAAATTTATCAAAGAAAAGCAGATGGGACGCTAAACTTATCTCTGAAAATGTTTCCCACTTGTGTAGTACTTTGAATCAAATCTACCACAAGAGAAACCCAAAGAGGAAAAATTATGTGAGCTTTTTGTAATGTAACATCTGACTTCCTTTTTTCTTCTTCTTTTTTGTAGCAAAGGTCTCTGTTGCTGAAAGATAACATTTACTCAACTGTGATGCCATTCTCTCCTTTGCTGAATGAAAAGAAAAAGTGTACAGAAAAACAACAAATGAAAAAAGTGAAGTATGAGCTACAAAATTTAGTCATAACTTTATTATTTCTGCAAATGAGCATACTGTTAATCTGTATAAATATATATTTTGTACTTTTCTCTGTGTTACTACTCACAAATACACAAGCATATATATGTAAACATATATTTGATCATGCTGGCTTTGTAAATTTGGTGGTGTCTTGTCTCAAATGTAATTGTCTTTGAACACAAGGGGACCTGCCCACTGAGACCTCCCAACAGAGTGTGTTGATAAGGTAACAATTTAAGTGGGCCAGTTCTAGTTGCCAACAGAGATAATACCAAAAACTGCCTCCTTTCTGCTGTTGTCCTCTGGCAGACATTTTGGCCATTTTAGGATTCTCTGAAAATATCAATGGCTTGTGTGTATATGATGTTGGTTTTCTTTAAAAGTGAAAGTGGTGACTGGATTCTACTCATTTACTACTCATTTACTTGGTTTCATCAGTTACTCTCCGTGAAAGTGAAATGGGCTCACATAGGGCTCAGTCAGATAGGCAGAAATATCAGATCCTTTTGACATCTGAAGCAGAGTGAGAATGGCTGACAGTCAGATTCCAAAAGATCTCCTGTATGGAGAATTAGTGCAGGGAAAACACCACAGAGGGAGACCACCGCTGTGATACAAGGATATCTGCAAGTGGGATCTGAAGGCCTTAGGAATGGACCTCAACATATGGGAAACCTTTACAACTGAGCATTCAGCCTGGAGGCCTCTTCCAATTTGAAGAGACACTATTCAGAGCATGTTACCATAGTCTCTCGAGACTGAAGGATGCCTACTACAAAGGGATTTCAACCACTAGATCCATAACTGGACTATATTACCCAACCTGAAAACACTCCAATTTAAGGATAATCAATAGCAGAAAAATCTATGTCCATGAAGCTTTCCCTGGGAAGGCTAGGACTGGTACATTTATGCATACTTTCACCACTGGAAATCTTTTGTTACTATTTTAAAAAGGCACTTTTGCCCTCTCCTTAACCTCTCTTGGATTAGTGTCTAATGGTGTGAGGAGCACATTGTCCAGTTTATTAGAAATGGAACTGTTAACAGAGAATCTAATATAACATAACTGTACAGCTATTCCAATAGTTCCATAATTGATGCCTGAAATTATGTTGCTCAGCATATGAAGTAACAGCTTGAGTAGGTCTATTGAATCAGTGGGATTTGATGAGGATGATCCTCCATAATTTCCATCAATTGACTGGGCCTATTCCAGTGGTGACTTGGTACATGAAGCAACAAAATTGCATTTGGTATCTGGTTGGCAAATGGTATGAGGGCTGTCTCAAAGAAAAGATTTTTCATCAACCTAAAGAGTAAAATAAGAGGGCTGATTCAGTTATGACTGGGTCAATATGGAGCTTTTTTCACAATTCTGGGGTCTTCTTGAACTCTTTTGTAACTTCATTAGGAAAGGATGGTGTGTCAGTGTGTATCTTTCCCAGGCAGTTGTAACCTCTCCCAGTATATATACAGTGGACCCTCTACTTAAGGAATTAATCCGTATTGGAATGGTGGCTGCAAGTCGAAAAGTCTGTAAGTCGAATCTCCATTGACCTACAATGCACTGAAAACCGATTAATCCCATAACCAGTGGTTTTTATTCTATTTTTATTCCATTTTGGTTTTTTTCTGGTCTGTAAGTCGATTCTCTGGCTGCAAGTCGAATCTAAATTTTGCAGCCAGAGAAGTCTGTAACTCGAAAAGTCTGTAAGTCGAGCCGTCTGTAAGTCGAGGGTGCACTGCACTGTTCTACAACATCATTACAAAACTTGATACTGTCTTTGTAATCCACGTGCCTGGTCTTAGAAAATAATAAAAGATATAAAAGCGTATCATATCTCATCAAAGTCATGTCTGTGTGATGATATTGTCATTTTTATTTTTGAGATTAATTTCTCTAAAGTTGCAGTTTCCCATACCCTCTGTGTATGCTGAAATCTTTGGTTTTTCCATTCTCGTGTTATAATTGAACACTGCCATATTACTACTGTGCTGGAGAGGTTACAAGTCCAGGGGATCCCTTTACCCCACATGTAACTAGAATGCCCCAGTGTGGAAACATGCTGGAAATACTGGTTAAAAATTGAATATGATACTCACTTCACATTATTTTCTTTGTTCTTTGATATAAATGAAAATGTTGCAATACAAGCCCCTGTGTCATAGCATAAAGCTAAGAGGATTTATCCAATACTTTTGGATAACTTGTTCCAGTATATATGGAGAGATCTAAAATTTTATTTAAATCTTATTCAGATTACCAGGAAGGATATACAGTACACGTACACTGATCAGTCACAACATTAAAACCACCTGCCTAATACCATGTAGGTCTTGTGCTGCCAAAACAGCTCTGATGTGTCGAGGTATGGAGTCTACAAGACCTCTGACCATGTCCCATGCTGTCTGGTATAAAGATGTTACCAGTAGCTCTTGCAGGTTGTGAGGTGGGGCTTCCATAGATTGGATTTGGTATTCCAGCACATCCCCCATAGATGCACCATTGCGTTGAGATCTGGGGAATTCGGAGGCCAAGGAAATACCTTGGACTCTTTGTTGCACTCCTCAAACTGTTCCTGTTTTTGCAGTGCAGTGTGGCAGGGTGCGTTATCCTGCTGAAAAAGGCTACTGCCATCAGGGAACACCATTGCCATGAAGGGATGTAGGTGGTCTACAACAATCTCTAGGAAGGTGGTACATGTCAAAGTAACATCCACATGAATGCCAGGACCCAAGGTTTTCCAGAACATTGCCCAGAGTATAACACTGCTTTTGCCAGCCTGCCTTCTTCCCTCCTGCTGCCTTCTCTGCCCCAGTTAAACGACGCCCAGACACCCAGCCATCCCCTTATCTAAAAGAAAATGTGATTCATCACACCAGGCAACCTTCCATTGCGCCATGGCGCAGTTCTGATGCTCACATTCCCATTGTGGACACTTTTGGGGTCAACATGGGCATCTGACCAGTCTGTGGCTACGCAGCCCCATACACAGCAAGCTCTGATGCACTGTGTTCTCTGGCATTTCTATCATGGCCAGCTTTAAGGTTTTTTGCAATTTAAGTGACAGTAGATCTTCTGTGTGATCAGAACAGATGGGCTAGCCTTTGCTCCCCATGTGTGTCAATGAGCCTTGGATGTCTGTGACCCTGACATATCAGTTCATCAGTTGTCCTTCCTTGCACCACTTTTGGTAGGTATTAACTAATGCATACCAGGAACACCCCACAAGACTTACCTTTTTGGAGATGCATTAACCTAGTCACCTTTAGTGGTTAAGTCGTGTCCGACTCTTCGTGACCCCATGGACCAGAGCACACCAGGCCCTCCTATCTTCCACTGCTGCCCAGAGTTTGGTCAAATTCATGTTAGTAGCTTTGATGACACTGTCCAACCATCTCATCCTCTGTCGTCCCCTTCTCCTCTTGCCTTCACACTTTCCCAACATCAGGGGCTTTTCCTGGGAGTCTTCTCATCAGATGGCCAAAGTATTGGAGCCTCAGCTTCAGGATCTGTCCTTCCAGTGAGCACTCAGGGTTGATTTCCTGGCCCTTGTCAGAGTAATTTTTTTCCTATGCCCACGTTTCCTGCTTCCAATACATGAAATTCAAGAACTGGTTGTTCACTTACTGCCTAATATATCCCATCCCTTGACAGGTGCCTTAGTAATGATCTAACCAATGCTAGTCACTTGACCTGTCAGTGGTTTTAACGTTGTGGCTGCTCAGTGTATTTGCACTCCTGATGTATGAAGAACAGAGTTTTCATCCATGGGAGCACACAGAAATAACTCTCTTTGAAGTGCCAAAGGAGTTTGCCTCTCTTCCCCTTTTTTTCAGCAATTCTGCCAATCTCTGTCCCCAATAGTGGCAAAAGTGGCTCATTCTGGATTGCAGAGTCAATGATCCCCCATCCAAATGAGCTGCTTCAAAGTAAGATAGAGGGAATGGGGGGGGGGTGAGTGTGTCTCCCGCCTGCTCGTTCCTTTCGTCTGTCTTCCGCCTCCCCAGAGCCTGGAAAAAAGTTTCTCGGACTACATCTCCCAGAGTCCCTCAGCCAGCACGGTCACTGACTGTGCCAACTGGGTACGTAATTCGGGAAGGAGCAGCCTCGAAAGGCAACTTCTCCAAGACCGAAGAGGCGAAGTGCTGTTACGAAGCAGTGTCGTAACTCGGAAGACCCCCCCCCGCCACCGACTCGTGGGCGAAAGAGAGGCCACTTCCGCACCCCCGCCCGCCATCGCCAGTCGCCCACCGAGTGACAACACGGCCCCGGGCCTGCCGCCATTTGCCCTTTTTCCCCCGCGTCACGTGGCCTCTCTCCGCTCCCTTTCGCGTCCCCGCCCGCTCCTCTCTTCCCATCCTCCGCGTCGGGCGGTACGTAAGGACTCTGCTTTGCTTGGCGCTTTCGCCGCGAGGGTGGGCACGGGTTGCAACTTGTTGGTGGGCATTGCTCTGCCCGAGGTGACCCTTCCCTCGCCCTGCAGGGGTGGGGAGGACGTTGGACGGTCAACCCCAGCCGCCGCGTCGGGGGAAGTTGGGGGGGAAGGCGAGCCCGCTTTCGGCGCGCAAACACACACCCAGCAACCCTCTGCCGCTCCCGAAGTAAACGGCCACCGCTTTCCACCCTCCTCGCCCAGGTGTGCCAGTGGTGGGGACGGAGGGGCAGTTGCCTGGCCCCGCCTTGGACACGGCCACGGACTCCACGGGAGCCCTTGCTCCGTTGGATGGAAGTCCACTTTTTTTTGGTGCAGGAACGGCTGGGGAGAAGAATCGCCCCCGTGCCTCTGCCTTGCCCGATTGCATTGCACCCTCATCTCTCTTGCAAGCCCTTGGAGCGGGGAGGGAAAAGAGCCAAGGAGGCCTAGATGTGTGTGGGGGGAGGGGAAAACCCGCAAGAGCTCTTTTTTTGCTGCTGCTTGTTGATGTTTTCATGGAGGACGTGGAAAAGGATTTGGAATACCACTTTAAGAAGGATGGATATAATGACACCCTGAGCAAGTGATAGGATAGTTTTCTGGCCCTCAGAGCTAGTGGCGCCACAGGGTTTTTTTCTTTTCTTGAGAGTTTGGAGGAAATTCTGAATGGTATAGTACTTACAGTTGAAGATATTTGTAAATTAATATTTGGCATAATATGCAGACAGTCGTTTTCTTACTCATTGCTATCAAAATCGTCCTTCTGTGTTGCATAGTTTGCCCTTCGTTTTTGAAGAAGACCATTTCCGTCAGATTTATCAGGAGGGAAAAGTGAGTGGTTAAGATTGAGCAGTAACATGCTAATGAACACACAGGTAATTAACTAGTTGAATATGAGCTTGGAAGATGTGGGGGCAGGTGAGCTAGCCATGGACATGTTTATTTATTTGTTGGACTTATAGATGCCACCCATCTAGAAGCCCTTCGTTTTTGAAGAAGACCATTTCCGTCAGATTTATCAGGAGGGAAAAGTGAGTGGTTAAGATTGAGCAGTAACATGCTAATGAACACACAGGTAATTAACTAGTTGAATATGAGCTTGGAAGATGTGGGGGCAGGTGAGCTAGCCATGGACATGTTTATTTATTTGTTGGACTTATAGATGCCGCCCATCTAGACACCGTCTACTCTGGGTTGCTCACAACAGAGAATATAAAACAATTTGTATTGTGGGACTGTTAGATGTTTATTTATTTGTTGGACTTATAGATGCCGCCCATCTAGACACCGTCTACTCTGGGTTGCTCACAACAGAGAATATAAAACAATTTGTTTTATGGGACTGTTAGATGTTTGTTGTTGTTTAGTCGTTTAGTCATGTCCGACTCTTCGTGACCCCGTGGACCAGAGCACGCCAGGCCCTCCTGTCTTCCACTGCCTCCCGGAGTTTGGTCAAATTCATGTTGGTAGCTTCAATGACACTGTTCAACCATTTCATCCTCTGTCGTCTCCTTCTTCTCTTGCCTTCACACTTTCCTAACATCAGGGTCTTTTCCAGGGAGTCTTCTCATCAGATGGCCAAAGTATTGGAGCCTCAGCTTCAGGATCTGTCCTTCCAGTGAGCACTCAGGGCTGATTTCCTGATTTCAGGGCTGTTAGATGTTACTTACATGCTTTCAGCAGTCCAGTCATTAGAAATGCTAATGACAAGCACTCCATACACCCCCTTGTATATTAGACTAAGAAATATATACAGGAATTCATGGGGACGACTGTAACATAGTGGTGGGACATACACTTTGGTCAAAATCCAGTTTTAATCACATTAGCGTCCAAACGTCTGTTTCTCTCAGCTGATAGTACAGCGGGGGAAAGTTGCAGTTCAGTGGTTGAGCACCTTTTTTTGTTTGCAGGTTCAATCCTTGGTGTCTTAGTGAGGAAGGAATCCTATTTGAAATCCCAGAGAGCAGCTAACAGCAAATGTTGACAATCTGGGGCTAGGTGGACCATTACCTGACTTAGTAAAAAAGCAGCTGCTTTCTGGTTTCACACTCTTTTCTTTTAAGGAGCTGTGCGCCACCCCAGTTCTGGTATTTTATATTATGTTGTATGGTAAGGAATTTCTGACATACAGCCTATGACTGTGACACAATGAAGTAATGGAAAACATGTCTGCTTGTTAATCAACCTTCTTTTCCCCCTCTTTCCAGCCACTATGATGGATCCCTACCTGATTCTTAGTGGTTTATTAACATCAACATTCAGGAGGACATCATTTAAGTGACGCTGCCATGGAGAGTATTACAAAACTGTTTGGTGACTTGTGTGAAGCTCATGTAGCTGATCAGTCGAAGTTCCATTTGGGCAGAGGAAAGACTGGCAAAAAATGCTCGAACAAAACTTTGAAGAAGATTGCATATAACGCTTTGTTTGCTAATCTTTTTGTGGATGATACCCGGAAGGTGCAGTCAAACATTCCTAGCCTTCCAGTGAAAAACAAAATTTTAATGGTGTCTTTCAACTTGAGAGTTGCTGGAATGGGTGCAGAAGCAGACAGGCTGGAGGAGCTTGTAGACCAGTTGGAGAGCTCTATATGCTTACCATTTACTGAAATTACATCTGTTTTGGATCTTCTCGTACAGCTTGCGGGAACGGGGCCTCCTCAGTGTTTACCACTCAAAAAGGATTATTTTTTGAACAACAAGTATGTTGGAAGAAACACTAAATATAAAGGTTATGACTATTATGATGTCAGTGTGTTTGAAGCTGATATACAGGCTTTTATTGCAAATGAGGAACATCAGTTTAATGATACAATTCAAAAGACACTGCAAATCATGGAGGCAGCACCCGGTACTGGCCTCCCTAGTATAGAACTGTTTTCACAAAACTGTCCTGTGGGTGATAGGTTTGAGAGAGAAACTCATGTCTCACTCTTTGGCGCCCTTGTGCACAGTCGTACATATGACATGGACATCAAGTTGGATCTGCCTCCAGTGCCTGACAGTGCAGATTTATCTGGCCTTGCAATTAAGGTATGCACGTTTTTGTGTGCCATTTATATTTTGTATTGATATTTAGTATTTGTTCAAATACATTACTGAACATAGCTTTGATGGCTGTCTGAAATTCAGTTATGCTTCCCAAATCCCTGATGTCGCTGAGGCTTTGATGAGCAAAAGGTTCAGCATGATCTGTCTGCAGCTTTCTTCTTGCATATCCATTCCATTGCCCAACTTATTGGCAAGGATTTGGACCCATGGCTGTGGTGAACATTGGAAAGTATCCATTCCCTGTGTATCTCATTGTTTCCCTCTGCTTTGTTTAACAATGCCCAGCTCCTTTAAAAAGTCTTAAATTGAAAAATTAATGGAACAACTTTTAAACATTAAGCAATATATGTGCTATAAAATATGTGGAGAGAAGCAAAAAATGTAAATTAAGTGTTCACCTTGGATCAGTGGATTGTAGAAAATATACACAGTACTGCTCTGAATATATTTTTTTAAAATTAGGTATTAAATGAAGAACAATGTATGAAGACATGCAGATAGAGCTAAAAGATAACTAAAGGAACAGATTCCTCCTGACTTTTAGAGAAAAACACAGTGCTATAAGGCAGAGAAAGAATCATATTTAATTGGTTATATAAATGGAAGTTATACGTAGCTTTATGTTTACAGGTTCCCCAAAGCATAGATCCTTCAGAAGATGAAGGATTTCAATCAGCATCTAATCTCACCCCTGACTCACAGTCAGAACCAAGTGGGACGCCTGATATCGACCTCTGGGAAGCTGTGCTTACTTATGGACCGAGTAAGAGAAGATGCTGGGAAAGGATTGGATGGTGTGTTTCTGGCTTTATGCTTCATAACTGTAGTTTTTATTTGAATGTACTCTGCTTGCTACAGTGTTGATCCAAGGTTTGTCTCTGGATGTGAAATTTTCCGAATTGTTTTGCAGATAAATAACTAAAGGCCTGAACATTCCAGTTAAATTTGAACTTGAGAGGAGCAGCTAAGGGAGATAGATCGAAAAGACCATAAATATAGATACCTGAGCATTTAGGCCTCCTTGCTTGCTTTTTGCACCTTACAAAAGAGTTTCCTTCAGAGGGAAAACTTTGTGGAATGTCCGTCAGTGCAGCATGACTGCTGCAATAATAAAACTTTGCAGGACTCCGCATGCTTGAGTTATGCTAAGCATTTAAAACAGGAGTGTTGCTGGACTACAGTTCCCATCAGCCTTAACCATCATAACCAAGCGTGAGGAATGCTGTTTCAGTTCAGCAACCTCTGGAGGACTGAACTTTGCCCATCGCAGAGTCTTTTAATGCATTCTACCCAAGCCCTATAGATATTAAAGTGATTTCTTTATTTAAGTTATTTATTAGGTATATTTTGATTCCACAAGGCCTTCAAAGTGGCATACCAAGTAAAATGCATACTGCAGTATAATTTAATAAGTTAGGTAATAAACTAATTTCAACAGATTTCTTGGTTACTCTTTACTAAAGAAAACCTGCGGTTTAAAAATATTGACCAAAACATTTGAAGGTGTCAGGTTGCGGAATAGTGGTGTATAGTATACATTACTTTTAAAACATGGGAAATGCTTGGTTCATACTTTAGACCAGTGATTCCATATAATGGGTCCCCAGATATTCTTGGACTGCAACTCCCAGAAATCCTGACCATGAAAGCTCATGGTAAAGGCTTCTGTGAGTTTTAGTCCAAGAACATCTGGTGATTCGTGGCTGGAAACCACTAGTTTAGACCTTGTAAAATGACTCTAAGAAGACAGAACAAAACATAATTCATGTGTTTTCTAATAGTGATCTAGCCATGAATGGTAGCCTTCTTGAAAATGTTTCCCATTACTCCCATGTACCTACCTAGGCTTACATTGTAATATTTTATAACCTTGGTTATTGCTTAGTTAGCTCCTCTAACTTTTGCTGTTCCTCCTAACACAGTCCCCCTGGGAAAAAAGAAGAGCCATATCTTTCAGAAGCTGGAAGAGAAGCCTTTGACAAATTTTACAGACTCCGAGAAGGGGAATTGCAACTCTTCAGCAGCAACAAACTTCAGCTTCCACAACGGTTGCTAGTAAAAGAACCAGAAATTGTTAAAGATGTTCTGAATGTCCTTATTGGTGTGGTGTCTACTACATTCTCTTTTAATCAGGTATTCAGAAACATTTGTAAATAACTGCTACAAACCACTACGTTTTTGAAGTCCTGTTGAAATTCTGTTGTATCATGACAGCAGAAATTATACAAGATTAACATGGATGGATGTCTGTTCACAGAAGGGATGCATGTTTCTGAATTTATAAAACATATCAGACAAAGCTACTATTTAAAGGAGCACCACAAAGATACTTTATGTGTCCTTGGGATAGTATTTGTAAAGAGAATCTAAGCTGATTTTTTAAAAGTATATGAGTACTGTACTTTGAAATCATGTAGTATTCAGTCCTATATTGTGCAAAAATAAACATAAAAACAAATTATCTTAAAAATACTTTGATATAGCTACACAGTATTTCTCAGTAAGTATTATAAAATTAACTTTGAAACCAAATCTGTGTACTTAATCTGTCCTGGACAATTTTCCATAGGAATATATATATATTTGAAGTCATGTTGACCAGCCCCATAGGTACAGTGGGAATGACATTAGCAACACCATGGTGCTGCTATTTAAAGGCTTCCTTTGGTCATTTTGGGATGTGGCAAAATTGTGTGTATGGAAACATTGCCAAAGGAAGGCTTTAATCAGTGGCAATTTGCCATTGCTGATGACATAGAGTAATTCCCACTGTGCATGCGGACCTCCATAACAGTATTTCAGCCATTGATTTAACTTTTCTTAAAATTTTATTGTTTTTTCTTGAATATAGTATGTTTATTTTAAAATTAAACTCTGTTAGTCTTTGACATTGACATAATTGGCGAGTACTGGATTTCCTCCTCCCTGTAATTTAAAAAAAAA